TACAGGAAAAGGCACAGACTTATTCATTAGTTAGTGTTGGAAGAGGACACTTGCTCGAGGCTCATATGAGCTTCCCCTCGCCTTCCCCATCCAGCAGGCTCGCACACAAAAAAGGCAGCCTCCCAAAGACGGGACTCCGTTTCCCCTGAGGAACAGAAGAGGATTTAAAAGGCTCAGGCACTGCATTGGGGCATCCAAGTGTGTTTGAAATGTTCAAAGTTGACGAAGTACCGAGATGAAAAGCAACTTGGAACTACATGGATATTGGAGTGAGAATAGAGGAGACTTTCCTGAAGATGTCTAATAGGTCACAGAGGGCAGGTTTTGTTCCACAGGGCTGGATGAGGGCTCATAAATTACAGTTCCTCTTTTACTCTTTTTTTTTTTCTTTTTTCCCCCCTCTAAGAAAGGAGAAGCAGGGGGCCTGGGAACTGCAGATGTGTAACAGGGACTTGAGCAATGAGGTAGGCTTTTTTTGTAGCTAAAGATGAGCTTAAAATTGTGTAATTTTGTGAGGCACAAGCTAGGCTTGCAACACGACTGAAAAAGTCTGGTTGATTTACTGAGACTGTACCCAGACTGACACATGACATTGAGAAGTTTAAGAAGATAGGACAAAGTTAATTTTTTTGGTGTTGTAAGTACATGAAAGTCGTCCCCACTTTCATAGCTGCTGGATTTTTCTTTCCTCTGGGGTGAAAGGGGACACAAAAATAAACCAAACATCCCACCCTGAAGCCCAAGGCCCTTCTTTTGCTTATTTATTTTTTAATCTGACAATTCCCCCAAACCAAGGGTGATTCAGATACAAGTTCCCTCTTAGCTAACCACTAAACTTCAGTGGTTTGGATAAAAGGGAACCCCGATCTGAGTCATCCGAGGTTAGCATTTCGTTGGCAAAATCAAAGCTGTGCCTACAAGATTTTCTAAAAGTCAAAAAACCTCCGTCTGTCAGAAAAGTCACCACAACTTGTCTCTCTTTCAAAGAAGAAATTGGGTGTGTGCCACATGATATTTTGACTGATTAAATTTAATGTGGTAGTGATTAAATTGTGCTATGTCAGTTTTCTTTGTATTTTCTTTTTTTTTTTTTTTTCTGAGAAATCTGCCTGCAAAGCGGCAGCAGCTATTTTTTCCCATAATTGCATCTGTTTCAGAGAGCAGACAGATGTTGGGCTGAAATTCATTATGGTATTCAGAAAACCCATTGGGATCTGATGACCTAGTAACATATAGCTACTGTTCCTTGTAAGGCATTTAAAGTGGTCGTCACTTGAATGAAGAGAGAGAGGACTTTGCAGGCGATAGGAGGGAAGGGAAAAACCTATAGCTCAGCCGAGAGCAGTAATATGCAATAGTAATATAAAATATGAGTTCAGTTTATTTCAATAAATTATCTTGTTCTTAAATTTGCAAATTTGCAAGCCAGCCTTCACACACTGGTGTTGCCATAGCATGCAGGTCCCGTACTGGCATATAGTCAAGGTGAAATACCCAGCGACAAAGGAAAGAAAATTGGAGTAAGAACAATTCTAATGTAGAGACAACTCAACAGAAATGGCTTTTGTGCAAGGAAATGGTTATTGGTATGATTTGTGAATTGTAACACTAAGTCACAATCGAGGATTCAATAGGCTCTGAAACTGAGAATCCAGAAGCCAGAAATGTGGAATATCAGCATGCCCAAAACTACGTCTCTTCTGTGGCTGCTGCTGGGGGCAGCAGGGAAATGTGCTGGGCTGGAAGGAAACAGGAAACTTCCCGCTGCTGCTGCTGGAGAAGCTCGGAGGTGCCGAGCTGGAACAATGCTGTGAAGTCAGGGGTCGGGCAGCGAGCGAGGGGTTATCGGTCCCGCAAGGGAAGGGTTTCTCCTGCTCCGGGACGTGCCCCCAGGGCATGCCTCTTTGTGTGCAATTGAAAAGAAAATACATTTCTGCAGGAGTCCCAGCGAGTGGCACTGGAGCTAACGTGGGTTTTGTGGGAGGCTGGTATTTTAAGCTGTGCCCTGGGAAATGAGGTGGACGTCCTGGCTGCGGTTCCAGCGGTGAGAGGCACTTTTTCCAACTCGCCCCATCCATTCAGGAATCGCTGGGGAAGGAAGCTGTTCGGTCTCGTTTTGGATATCCTGTGAAGCTAAACTAGCACGGCTGCCAACTGAAAAAAGTTATTTAATTTTTAAAGAGCTGAAAACTACTGTGTGTGCTCCTGAGCGTTGTATGGGAAACGACTGTTTGGTTTTGTTTGTCTGGGTTTCTGGTATGCCCAGTTCGCTAAAGGTAGCAATCCTGTCCCTCGATCCTAATGCAGGAACCTCTGCAAAGCGCAAGTCTGAAGACAGATTCAGGTTTAGACTCTGCTTCCTGGCCCCCTCTTAGTGTGTTTGGAATGAAGTGGAATTTTCTTTAGTTCAAATAGGAGAAGGCATGAGAAATATTCAGAGCCTGATCCAAAAACCCATTGAAAACAAAGACATCGTACTGTGATTTCAAAGCACGGCAGGGATGGGTCATAGAAATACTGAAATTAAAAAGCAGACTGGGTTGAGGGGGGAGCCTTGGTTCGTTAGTTTTTACATCTTTTAACTAAAGTGGAATGTAAGTAAGTGGGTGTCCTGGCCTGAAGCTCAGAACTTCCCCCTGCGATCTAAAGAGTTTTTGCTGCAGCTAAGATAAGTTGTGCTGCTGTTTTCCAAGGTGTGACCTGATGGAGCTGCTCTCTGCTTCTCTGCGTTCATCCGACAGCACTCGTGACATAGTGTGGGTGGCAGCGCTGACTGCACCAAGCCACGCAGAGGCAGACCCAGGCCCTGTAAGGTCCCGTGCAGGTTTTTAATGTGTAATCTTCTTCCTGACAGCCTACCAAAGCCTCCCGTAGCAAGGAACCATGCTACAACTGGGAACAGGAGCGATTAACTTTTGAAGTTAGCAGCTGGCCTACAAAATGAAGATTTCTAGCAGCAGATATTTTGTACTCCAGGACTTCACAAAAACCATTAATAACAGTAAATCGCTCCAAGGATGGGGCTGTAAATGGTACTGGATCCAAGCAGCAGCCAGGGGCCCCTGCTGATGGATGAATGCTGGGCTAATACGGTGCTGCCTGCTGCCACCCATTGACTCTCCTGTAATCAGCATTTAACAGCTGCTCATCTTTTGGTTCTGGTGCAACCAAGTGAGGAGAAAATGGTTTCTGAAAGCGTGAGACAGGCAAAAAGATTGCCCTTCCTCTCTGAGTAAGCCTGAGAGCTTCTGGGAAAGAGGGAAGGTGAGGTCTGTAAGGAGGTACTGCGGGGTTTTGTGTCACTTTGCTGCCTTTTGGCTAAGGGTTGTGCTCTAAGGAAACACCAAAGCAATGTCTGAAATCTCTGGGTCATACCAAAAAAAAAAAAAAGTCACATGAAGGATCGATTGTTGCTCTGGAAGAAGGGTGCTGGTGCCTCAGCCTCAGAGCCTGCAGCAAGCCGAACAAGCACCTCTGGTGTGAGCAGAATGCAATTTCCTGATAGAAGGCCAGAAACCTTCCTGCAAATTAAAGTTCTGGGAGCAAGTTTTGGTGCCAGGGTTTACAGGGATCCTGTTTTATTTGGGATCTGAGGAGGGCAGGCATGCTGGGGCCAGACTCTGGCACTCTGCCATGAAGCTGGGAGCAAAGAAACCAAGAAGCTGGATGCGGGATTTGCCTCCTAACTCCCCAGCAGGGAGCCAAACTCAAGCTTTGGGGTTTGTGAGCACCCTGATGTAGAGCTGGGATCTGGATGCTGGAAGGTCTGGGCAGTGCTTGCTGGGGGTGGCTCCAGCACCGGCAGCCGTGGTGGTGACAGGGACATCTGCTCCCGAGCAGCGTTGGGTGCTGCTTCAAGAAGATTCAGAAGGCTGGCTTTCTGAACAGCAGTTTTTTCTGAAATTACAGTTCAGAGAATTGAGAAATGCTGAAAAGAGTCCGTTTGTCCAACTCAGGCTGAAACCGAGAAGCTGTTTATCTCCTGCAGACCGGAAATCCCGCTCTGTTACGGGTTATCTTTTTTTTTTTTTTTTTTTTTCTCTCCTGCCAACTTCACACCTGTAGCTGAGACCCCAGCGTAAACAAAGCCAAAGGAAACAACCAGCATGCCATTTCGAGCCTCAGCTTTAAACACTCTCTTCCTTTACCGAGCCTCGCATCTGGCAGGAGCGGTCACCGCTTGCACCGCTGCCCTGGGCCCAGCGCCCCGCTCGCAGGGGGGCTGCAGAGCTCGGGGTCGGCCCCGTACTTCTGGGGTACAATGGCATTTCCTTTGGTGAAACAAAGGAAGTTCTTCCCCCTTCGAGCTTGCACTTCCCTTTTAATACAAAACATCCTCTGCATGCACACAGGCGCCCGAAAGGTTTTTACGTTCAGGTCTGTGGTTGCAGGCTTTGGCTGCAGGGCTTCACCGCGGCTCCTCCCTGCGTGTGCAGGAGCAGCGCTGCGCGAGTCCATCGCGGTGACGTGTAGCTGGGGTTTTGCCTTGCAACCGCTGTTTTTTACCCTCTTGTACCCTGATGTTACTCTGATTTCTGTATTATTTTGTATTTGGGTTGTTACCCTTGTATAAAGTGCCTCCCTGTCAGAGTGCCTTCACCTGGGGCTGTGCAATGGGGGTCTGAAGGGCGCTGTCAGCGGGGGCCTCGCACGGATCCTGTCCTAGCTGAGGGTTTGAGCAGGGTGGTCCTGAGCCGTGGGGCTGGGGAGCAAACAAGCCAGCAGTGGGCTTGCCCCGAAGAGCTGCGATACAAGAACACACACTCCTGGCTGAGATTCTTGATTTTTAATGAAAAAAGGGTAGGTTGCAGGGCCGGGCTTCAGCAGCAGGAAAGCTGGTGCCAGTGCAGCTTTTAGTTTAACCGTGAGCAGGATGAGCTGGGAGGCAGGAGGATAACTTATCCCTCTCACAAACCAGCACCTCGTAGGGCAGCAGCGCCGAGCCCCCTCACACACAGCCCGCGGGCGGGCTTCGCCTGGGCGCCATCACCGCGCCGTGCCCGTGGGGTGCCCACGCGTGGCGGAGCCCCTCGGCCGCCCTGCTGGTCCCGTCCCGTCCCGTCAGGGCGCGTCACTTCCTCGCCCGGCTCTCCTGAGGCGATGTCTCCGCTCAAGTTGCCCGCGGCCGCCCGGCCCGGGGGCTCCCTCCTCCGCCGCCGCCGCTGACTGGGGAGGGCTTTCCGGCGCGGCCGCCATGCCCGCCTCCCCGCCTCGCCGGGGCACGGCCGGGCCGCCGCGGGGCTCGGGGCTGAGGAGCACCGTTAGTTAGCTCGGTGCGAGCCTCGGGGACGGCCATGGCCCGGGACTGCGCCGCCCGCAGCCTGGACGGCACCGACCTGGCGGCGCTGAGGGTAAGGGGGCGGCCCCGGGGGCAGCGGGGCGGCGGGGAAGGGGCGGCCGGCAGCGGGCGCCCCCCGTGCCTCAGAGGGGGCTCGGGGCAGGGGGAGCAAAAAGCTGAGGGGGGGTTGGGGGAAAAAACGCGTGCACGGGGGCTGTTGGGCGTTGGGTGTGGGAGAGCTGAGGCAGCAGTCGCCCCCTTGGCGTTTTTATCGCTGTCCTGTGGTGTTTTCCCGTTCTTTTTAACGCTGTCCAAGTTAAAGCCGCCCCGCTGGAGTGTCACGCCGCGGGTGGCGCGGGACGCCCCTCAGCGCCGCTCCCTCGCTCAGCAGCCCTGTCCCACCGACGCTGTTTGGTTTATTTTTATTTATTTATATTTTTTTTCTGGGGCACTCTCCGCAGAAGAAGAGGGAAGAGTTGAGCTGTGGTAAAATGCACTCAGACCCAGACGGAGAAACCAAAGCAAGTTCCTTGCTAAAAATATCAGAAGAGGGCTGGGAAGAGCCTTTGCAGAAAATCGTGTGGTGAGGAGGGTGTTCCTGACCAGGCAGGGAGGAGAAAGGCGGCAGGGTCAGTAAAGTTGGTGAGGATGGCACCAGGCTCCTGGCCGGGCAGACAGGCATTTAACCTGTCTCTGGTCAGAGGAGCAAGACAAAATAATGCGAGTTTTCACTTTGAGCTTAGCAGATGAACCTTCTTGCTTCAAATACATGGAGAGAAACTGGTGTAAGCTTGGAAAAGAGCAGTGGTTCAAGCCAGTGGGCAGGCTCCGTGGCAAAAGCAGCATGCAAAAAAGCACTGGGAGTGCTGGCCTTGGGAGGAGGAAGGATGGAGGTGTCCCTTTAGGGTGTCCCTTTATGGTGTCCCTTTGGGTGCTCCCTTCAGGATTTGTGCTTAGCGGTGAGGGGACTTGGGCAAGGCTGGGCCCTGCAGGAGCTGAGCAAAGACAGCCTCTTGCCCCTGTCATCGTCTCTGGGGTTCCTGGGGCTGGTGGGAGCCACCAGGAGGTGTGGTGGGAGGGTTGCAGTGGCTGTGGTGGGTCACTCTCTAGCTGTGCCCGCTGCCCTTGGCACTCCCGATGTGTGTTCACCTTCCCCTTTTCCTGGAGAGAGCTGCTTTGGGCCACGGTTTGCAGGTGTTGCTGCAGCGTCCCCTCACAGCCCTCCTTCCCTGGGCTGCCTGGGTGCTCAGGTGGCAGAAGCAAGGGCAATCATGGGCTTTCTGAGCACGGGTTCATCCATGTTACATCCCAAGGTGTCTAGTAGAAGAACCCGGGCTTCAGGCACCTGCCTGTTGTTCAGCTGCAGAGGTTGTGAGCAGTGTTTCAGTCAGGCTCTGGCTGCACACGTGGCTCTGCATTGTGCGTGGAGGTGGACGTGGCCTGGGTGCCTCAGGGCCAGCAGCCTGGCTGTGCTCTGCCCGTGGCTTGCAGGAGAAAGCAGGTGCCCGCCATATGGCGTGGTGCCTTACAGTAATTAACCTTACAGTGATGGATGTTCGGGCCGGCGTTTTGGCATCTGTCAAAGTGAACCCAGCACTTTGGCAGGGGCCGGCTGGTGAAGGGTTGGACCGACGGCGGGGCTAAAATGCTAGCTGGGCGGAAGCGTTACATCAACAGCGATGCCCAACTCCCAGATAATTAAGAAGTTGGCCGGTTGGGAAGACTCTGCCAGCGGAAGATGCAGTGCTGATAGCCAGGCAAACAAGGGCAGTCCAAGGACCAAAGTCAGAGCCCAGATTAATATCCTTTATGACTCTCAACAAGGCTCAGCTCTCTGCTGCGTCCTGATTAAAAGAGAGATGGCCAAGTGTTTTGGCTGCACTCGGAGCTGTGGAGACTTGTGAGGTCAATGCTCAATTGGTTAGCAAGGAAAGGGGGGAGGATTTTAGCTATATTGAAGTTAAAGCTAACATTTATTTAGATAATTGTTTGGGTTTTGCTTTTTTTCCCCCCCCTTGGAGCATCTGAGACCTTAGATAGAGCTATTAAGATGCTGAATCAGAAAGAAATTGATTGGAAGGAGAGAGAGAAACTGATTTTGAGGCACATGAAATGATTATATTTGCATAATAAGTAAGAGTAGAGGAAAAGCGGGAGGACAGAGTAGTCGCTTAAGTGAGAGGGACAGGACAGTGGCATGCTCGGAGCTGAAAAATGCAGTGTAGATTCCTCTGGGCTTCGTGCCCCGTGCGCGGCTGTTAGCTCAGCAGCGCTGCTTTCTGCAGGCGAGGTGTGGGAGCAGCACGACGCCCATGCCTCCCGAGGAAGCAGCGTGGTGGTGTGCCCTGGGGAATTGCCCATGTCCGGGAGATGTCCCGGGAGCCGCTGTGTGTTTGGCTGCACTGCCCCATGTACAGCGCAGCGGGCAGGTCAAAAGTGGTTTGGTCTCATTTATGCATTGCTAATTACGTTTAAAAAGTAAAGAATACGTTTTGTGAGGTTGACAGTCCAGGAAGCATAAGATTAAAACTGATTTAGCTTAAAGACCAAACCAGATGAACTCAGCAATTCCTTCAGTTGTGAGAGCTGTGGAAGGCTCTGTTGTGTTGCTCTGACAGCGAAAGCTATTGCCATTTATCATGACAGTCGTGCCAGCAAAGGCAGAATCCACTCAGAAAAGAGTCTGTGTATTTCCAATGGGACTTTGCCTAAGTAAAAACTTCCAGATGAGATACGAAGAAGGCAGTATTTGTGTTAAGAGAATAACGTATAAGTGGAGTGGAGATGTAGCTTGGTACCATAAAATAAATAAATAAATAAATAAAGATAGTTCCCATCCAGGGTCATAGAAATTGGAGTTCTGAGATAAAAGCTGTTTTTCTGTATCGCATCCACCAGCAGTACCAACAAGTATCAACTGACATGACAGATTGCTGAAACAGATGTGGTAAAACTGACACATGGAACTAATAATATTTCATATAAATCTCTCGATGATATCATCCCAAGAAATGAGCAGGACTGATAAATGGCTCAGCCAGAAACCAGGAAACTGGTCTCCTGAGTTCTTAATGTTTTTATATAAATCTCTCAAGTGAGTTTTAACCGGAGCTACAGATTTCTTAACGCGCTCGCTCACTCACGCAGGAGCGAACATTCCCTTGCCCGTGCCTTGCGACAGGATGTTCTCCTGAAACCTGAAGGGCTTTGAGATCTCATTGCTGGAGAAGGACACGTGCTGCGGTGGCTGGTTTTAGGGTAACTGATGCTAACCCAGCAGGATGTACATTGGCTCACCTGGTACACTGATCACCGGGCACGTGAATCTTTCATGTAAATTAACAGCAATCTGGCTTGGGTTCAAAGCCAACCCTTGAGGACATCGGTCAGTCTCACCGGGTTGTGTTTGCAGAACAGGCTGGTTGGCCATTCTCAGCCTGTGTTTGGTGTTAAGGTCATTTGGGATGAGAGGCTTCCATTTGCGAGGCAGCCAGGCACAGATGCTTTGTAGAGCATCTTCCAGTTCTGTTGTTGAGGTTCTCTCCCTTGTTACACTGTTAACACCAAGTGTTTCATGGCAGAGGACTGCAGCTGAGCCTGTAGGCTAGCTTGGTGCTCTAAAGCGTAGCAAATGTGGGGTTTATTCCTTATTCTACTGCTAAACTGAAGCAATTGAATTACCTTATTCTTCATACATCTCCATGTATTTGTTCTACCTGCCATATTGTCGTGCTACAAATCTTCTCTGAGTTATTTTGAGCAACTTGACAGGGAACTTTAATATAAATTTATTTCTTACACCGTTCTTTGGTTATTTCCCCTTTAGTGTGTAACAGAGGCCATTAGGAGACATGGCACAGACTTCAGTTACGCTCCATTATGAAGTGTTTGCTCTGCTGCAAATGATGTTATTTTTTCTGCTTTTTGCAGGATCCTGCGGGAATATTTGAACTGGTGCAGGTTGTTGGAAATGGGACATACGGACAAGTCTACAAGGTTTGGACACCTCTTTATTTTACGATGCCGTTGTTGATAAAGCTGTTTTTTCCTAAAGCCAAAATGAGCACCCATCAGAAACCGGACAGTTTTGTGCCAGTAATAGCCTGCTCTGTCTTGCTGTCTCTTCTGCATGGTGCAAAATGGTGTCAGCTTTGAAACTGTGCCCCTTCCTCCTGACCCATTTTCATGTCTCTGCCACAGGGCAGATAACTGCCTTGGCTCTCGTACTGACTTCCCTCTGTCCTGCTTTTTCTGTCCTGTGCTTGTTTTTCTCTTCTTCAAAATTATTTAATAGACGGGCTGGCACAAATTAACATCTGTCATGGCTAAATTTGGCTTGGATTGTGTGGTGAGCCCAGCACAGGCTAAAAAAAACACCAGAATTCTTCAAGACATGCCTGAATTAACCCTGCTCTGTAAGCAGGCTACCAGGATTTTGGTTTCCATTATTACCTTTGTCACTGTGATACCAAAGCAGGCCTACCAGCAAATTCCAGCAATTAAACCTTGTCTGCCGTAATATGCTGTGTGTGTTTTGACTGAGGTATAGGAATAAGGCTAGAAAAGTTTTATTTGATTGTGAAGCCTTTCCTAAGAGTGATTTAAGAGGGGATAAAATAGGGAAATGAGCCTGCTTTGCTCCGATTTGGAGAAATAAGACAGAGGAAGGAAAAGGTCATGCTGCTGGACCGCTGGAGGTAGAAGGGAAGAGTGATGGCACTGGAGGAAGCTGTGTGGCATTGCTTCTCCCTCAAACCCCACTGCTGGCTAGCTCCTGCATCACGAGGCTTTGCCTTGATGCCAGCTCTTCCTGCACTGGTTCCCTAACGTGCAGAAATGCAGGAGGACTCTGTCTTTCTCTGACTGTAATGCACTGAACACACCTTACACTTCAGAGTCCATCCTCTGGTGGCAGTTTTGCTGTGACTGCATTTTGAAACTGTAGGTGCTCTCTCAAAGATTCAGGAAAATCCTCTGCAGAAGCACTTTTGAGGAGTTTCTGCTTTCCCATATACATGTTTTTTTCATGTCAGAAGCAGAATCTTTCTCATATAACTTTTTGTCTGTTGCTGTGATTAAGCCTGCATTGTTTCTGACATTATCATTCACATACTGAGCATTATTAAATTGAAGATAGAGATTGAGGGGCTCATACAGGCAGCTCAGAAGCCAGGAAACATTTAGGGGTGCCGTAATTGGTGGAATCATAGATATTTATGCCCGTAAAAGATCCTAAAGTTCCCAAACAGCCTCTGTACAAGTTCCCTTTCTTTTCGTGCCTGGATTTATTTTATATTGGCAGTGAAAAAAATCAATCTAGTCATGTTTCAAAGGTGTTGAGAGGGAATCGGCTGCTTAATCATGGCAGCACCGGGAAGGAGCAGCAAAGCTTGCTTCTCTACCGCAGAAGAAAATGCTCCAAGCAATCCCGTGGTTCACTTGAATGTCAGCTGCCAAAACACGTAAGAAATATTGACAAAGAAAATTAAAAACTATACCCAAAGGCTACTCCCCGCTGAGCACACGAGACCATGGTCTGGCAGCTCTGGGCAAGGAGCGCTGTGGATCTCGGAGCTGCTGCAACACCACTGCTGGGCGCGGGGAGCCAGCCTCTGGTGGGGCTGAGGGCAAGCGAGGGCACCGTGGGGAAGCTCCGCTGCAGCGAAACAAGAACTTCTGAAGGGACCATAAAAAGTTAGGCACTGGTGTTTGCTTTGCTTTTTCACTGCCGTATAGTATGTCCTTTGATCTGTGCAATGGTAGGAGTGATGGAGTGTATTGGGAACACTGGAATCATTTTGTAGTTTGTCTAGGTCGAGTATAGGCTTGAGATTGTAAATATTGAAGTTATTCAGTATTCCCTGTTGTCCTCATATATAGTCAGGCCATTAGCACATGTTTTTATTCTTCAGAGGCATCAGAATCTTCCATACATTCAGAAATAGATCCACAGAGTAGTGCACATAATCAAAGTAAAGCTTATTTCAGGCTAAATAAACAGTGTTCAGAATTACTAAATTGCTCGGTTGGCTCCGGCAATGACTCATAAGGCTATGTGTTTTAATGTATGCAGCTCCATAAAAATGAAAATAAAACTTGGAGATTCATCATTAGATTTAGAAAACAATGTTTAACAGATTTATAGAAGGAGGATATTGTTCCTAGTGAATCATTCTAGACTGGTTCCAGGTCACGTCCTTTTAAATGACACGGAAGGGGTATAAATTGTACCCATCATAGTGCTCGAGCTGTCTAGAAACATCATAAAGTTGGGATTTGCATATAATAAGTGCTTGAAGGCTAGCAGATTTTTTGACAATTTATGAAGTAGCAGGATGTAAACATGCCAGTAGTGGCAACTTCAGCCTTTTGAAAAGTATGAATTAGATATTAAAAAGGGGAAGGAGGAGTTTGGGAGCATCCCGTCCCCGCACCTCTTTTTGCCCGGGCCCCTCCATCTGCCCCACGAGGCCCCACAGGGACTGTGTGGGGCAGGTGGTGACTCTCTGAAGGGTGAAGGCCAGCATTTTTGGGGAGCTGCTGATCAGCGAGAACCTTTGGCCGGGTCAGCGCCGATTTGCATCGCCCAGCTGCCGTGTCGTCTGGGAGGAAGTGGGATTGCTGGAGGTGTCACCCGCAAGCTCTTGGGTTTCGCTTCCCCGCTGAGCTGCAGGCCCCTTGCCTTGCGTCTCCTGCCACAGCAGCCTGGGGGAGCGCCGTCAGGTGTCCTCTGGGGGGGCAGTAAAATGGTAGAAGACCCCGTCGGTTTAGGAGCTGTCACCTCTTTGGTTTGCTGGTAGTCACCGTAGTATTGGTACGCCGCGGTGTGCTGCTAGAGGTTGTATTTTTACAAGCATCACGGAGTCAGTGGCTGCAGGATCGGTCTCAGGGAGCGTGAGGCTGCACCTTGCACAGAGACCTGACCGTGCTGTCGGCTGAATCGTTCTTTGCCTACTCCATGACCTCCAGAAGTTTAATTATAGGGATGCTTCGGTGTCCTCCTTCCACAACCGTATACTATCGCTGTGAAGAGCTGCATAGCCATCGGGTGTCACCCCGATGTGGAGCAGCCTTGTTAATGTGCTTTCTGTCCTTTAATTTTCAGTGCTCTGCTTTAATTGCAGGTGGCTAGGGAGAGAAGGGGCAACCTGATCTGGGTGCCACTGTTGAAGTGTCTGGGTCAGACCCCTACTCTGGGAGAGACTTTAGGACTCTTAGTTTATCAATTCTTTGTTTTTTTAGTTAACAAGATGAAGAGAATTTGCTCCTCATCCTACAAGTTCAGCTGTGCTCTGACAGCCCTCAGCCTTCTAAGAACATTTTCACGGGCCAAATGAGGTCAGCAGCAGCCTCTGCACAGTGAGTTTGTGCTCTGATGTTCAGAGGCACCTGTTGAGGGCTTCTGACTTCCTCTGCCCTAACAGTGTGGATTATCCCTCCTGTGGGGCCAGTGTTTTTGGGTGGCCCAGCGAGTGAGAGGCCGGTGGCTTTGGCATGTTCCAGGAGATGACATTTTTTGGAGCATGATCTTGCAGGCTGACGATGAACCATGAAACATTTGCAGCTGTTCGGTGAGCGGAATGGTCATACCTCTAAAGAGTCTGAGGGCACAGAGCACTTGGGAGGAGTGCTCTGTTTTGGGACTGTGGGGTTTGAAAGGGAAGGTGTGGACTCCCAGTAATGCAGCTGATGAAAAAACAAAGTGTTGCTGTTGCTGAGGCTCAGAGGAGAGTAGAAGCAATACAGCTCTCTGTAGTTGCTGCACGGCCAATATCTTTATTTCTGCGTAGTCACCTAAGACCTCGGATACACAAAGGAAGCAGGTCTGAGCGAGGAGGTGCCTCTTCTGGTTTGTAATGCAACTGCTCCTTGGCACCGAACCATGCTGCAGTTGTTGACGTGAGTTATGAGTTACTCCGCTGTTGGTGTACAGTGGCAGGGGGGTAGTGAAGCACAAATGTGACTGTTCTGTTTGTCTTAAACAATTTGGAAGTCCTCTGAGTCTCCTTCATAATTCGTTTCATTGAGTCGTTGGCTGAAGTAGTTGAGAGCAAGGGGAGGGGGAAAGCATTGCAGTGTTACCGAGGAAGGTTTGGTGCTCCGTGCAGAGAATCACCAGACCATGCTAAGTTACCAAGGTTGAAAGTCTGTGGACTTGAAACCTTAATCGATGGCAGTGCCTCAGGCACTTAATGAAAAGCTGAATTTAAGAAATGTCTCCATTATGTCCAGTGAGATCCAGAAGGTCCTGAGTAAGCTGAAGACTTCAAAGGGTCTCTTCTGGGGGTGGTCAGAAGCGGCCACCTCCTGAGGAATGTTGCTCAGGGCTGAAACGCAATCTCAGAGTCTCCAGACTGCTGCAAACAGAGACATTAAAATGCCGCATGGTCTTAGGGTGTTTTGTTACCGTTCGTGGTCAGTTATGGTTTTAAAGGCAATCATAGCCTTCAGGGCACTGAGGTTGTGGTAAATTGAGTGGGGAAACTACTTGTTCTTCACAGAAATGATAAATGCTGCTTTCTGTTCCACCAGCAGTTGGGACAAGTGCTTGGTTGTCTATTCATTTGCTTTGTTTGGTTTGTAATAGCGTAGCTGATTAGCTTGTCCCCTTGAAAAGCTAGTTAATTGTAGGTAGGAGTGTATAAAAAAGTACTGCTGAGGCGTACTGGGGGGGTCATCCAGTCATTGTATGCATCCTTGGTTCAGCAGCATGAGCAACGAAGGGAGGTGAGCTGCTAATCCTGGCAATGGGGTTTCCTTCAGGAATAAGTCTGAGCTCGGTACGTGCTCGTGCTGTTGTCATGAGATCTGAAATGCTGTCGTGCTTATGAATAGGTTGCCCTGAAAGCCTAATATCTAATGGTTGTAATATCATTAAATACGCTAGGGAGGCATGGTTGGGTGTTCTGATATTTAACTCGTGCCTCTGATCTGTGATAACACCTGTGAAATACCTACTGGATGTGTTTGTCCCTCCTCTCTCAGCTGCCTGCAGC